ATATATAATTTAAAACAAAGAGTTTTCGTTTGGAAAGAAGTTTGAACTTTAATTCAACCATATTTTATGATTGTTTGCTTTAAATAAATCGTAGTGAACATAAAGGGGAAGTATTGTAATCGTGCGATGAAAAATGCCTAGTTTTGGCTGAAAAACGGGCTCTGATAACGAAAATGTGATTCACGAATATAGTAAATTACCTTCTCTAATAGGTTAAGTAGTCAGAATCCATGTTTTCTTTCGTGGGTTGTGGCTATAACACGTGTTAGATGAAGTAATTTAATGCATATACAATAGTATTTATCCACTTTTCATTCCCGGACCCGGCAATAAGAGTTTTTCTGCCGAAAATTCGCCTATTTCCAACATATCTAACTCTTCTTACGAAGCAAGTGCGAGAAAGTAAAAATAATAATCAATTTTAATATCATCTACATCACCACATACTACATTCGGCTCTGCTTTATCAACTTCATCAATCAGTTCAGTCTCAGCCAATATTTGAGAAAATGAAGAATGTAAATTTCATTTCCTGAGTCTACAACAGTTTTTTGTAATACGATGGATCAAGATCATATAACATAATAGTACTATTTATTTAGTGGTGCACTTGATATAAATTAGTTGTTGCTGTTTCATCCAATCGGGAGCTTAAATACTACAGTAACGTCACTATGGGGACGTTCTTGTTTCCGATTGGATGAAACCGTGAACAGCTGATTTACGTCAAGAGCATGGTTAAACAAGTCCTAGTGTATATGGTCTTGATGAAATTCGTTAAAAGACTACGTCGCCACTTGAGCCCGCGGCGCCGCGCCGGGCCAAGGGTTGAGGAGGCAGCGCCGTGAGTGCGCGTGTGCGTGTACGTGGGTGCGCAGCTGCGCAACGAGCTGGCCATGTGCTGCGAGCAGCAGGTGCCGTGGCTGGGGCTGCCACGCGCCTTGGAGTACGCCTGCAAGAACGGGCCGCGCCCGCTGCGCGCCACGGCCGTCTGCCTCAGGTACCACGACCACCTACACACACACACACACACGCTCACACACACGCACGCAGACGCACACACACACGCGCGCACACACGTGCACACACACGCGCGCGCGCGCGCGCACACTCGCGCACACACGCACACGCGCGCACACGCACGCGCGCACACGCACGCGCGAACACACGCGCGCGCGCCTTTGGCGCCTCGGCGTGGATATTCGAAGGTCAGAAAATCCATAGTAGCATTTTCCCTCTTGTGACAGGTAAAAGATCCCTGGGAGATGCCCGGCAAAATTAAATCCCTCCGACAATATTCCGCCCTAACGAGATCTCACTTTCTCCCATCCAGATAGTTCGGATATAGTCGGACCAACATCTGGAGAAAGTGAGAGTCACACCCCAGGCGCATCAGAGAACCGCCCGCGAGGCGCGCCTTCTCCATTAGGTCCCCAGACCTAACCCGTCGGAGGTAGGCTTCCAAGGAAGCCTCGGTCGAAAACTCAGGTGCGGAACACTGCCTAAGGGAAGTTCCCCACTAGAAATGCCGTACGCCAAATAAATAAATAACAAATGCCCTTGCCTATAAATGGCCAATTTTGATTTGTATTTACCTTTTTATTATTATTTTTTTCAAACCCATATTTCGTTCCAGACGTGGGCCCTTGAAAGTGGTAACTATTACCATTACTTTTCATAATCGACTTATCGACTTAGTAATAGCCAATCGACATTTCTTTCCCCTGAACGTATTAGAGACCAAAGAAGTCCGAAAAATTCTGTTTTTGCTATAGTATTGCGACTTATTTTCAGTTTATGCTTTAAATATAAAATAAGGAGAAAAATATAATATCTTCGTTCTAATTCTCATCACTACAAGGCCCAACTTCCGTTATAGCTTGAAGCAATTAGGAATAGCTATGTCACAGTCGACTTTTCAGTATTCAAATAAAAACAACTTTTTATGCTAATAGTTTTAATCTGCATCACTATTTAATGCCACAAACGCTACACCAAATGCATAATATGAAATAAGTGTGCATATTTATTCAGAACATAAAATAAGTTTAATTTCGACTAGTGTTAATTACAAGAAGTGTAGTCTTTGTCACCACCTTTCGCTAAACCTAATGACCATCTGTTTACTTTGTTCTAGAATTACAGCGTACGTAATGTACATTCTTCTCGGACTCACCATCATTACTTGTTACGTGATAATATCATCCCTGCTTCTGGGATATGTAAGTAGATTCTATTACATATCATCATTTCTGAAGCATGGAGCAATTTATCAACCCTTGCTGGTTTCTAGCATTCGATGGGCAAGTGTTCCTTCCGTTACGTAATTTCAATATTAGACATAAACTCTAGCCGTGAGCACTACTTTTGTTCCTGTGTGTTAATGCGCACAAAAGAATAGATTTCAAACATCATATGTGCAGTACAGTGAGACGTGGATGGATAAGGCTTTTAACAAGAATTGAAAAATCTCTTCTGAAAAGTTATGCAAACCGACTTTTTCATTCAATTTTTCTTTCACCACTCTTTCCCATGACGATGTATATTTAAACGCCATTAGACCAATAAACGGCAAACAAGAGACGCGGCTGAAATTTATAACCAAGTCCGTTATTTGGGTCATCAGTCAGGTGTCGTTAAAGATTTTTCGAACGACTTGTTTTCTTATTGCAAATAAAAATAATAACAAGTGTATATTTTATCGTTTGCCAATAGAGTCGCGTCTCCCAGGAAGTCGAGGGCTTGCTTGGCCAGGAAAGCGCTCACTCACCTTTCGAACTGACATACGAAACTATCGCTGTGCTTAACGTATCTTAAAGGAAATGCTGAAAGTGGTGCTCTTCGGCTCGAATGCATTATTGTCACCACGGGTACATTTGAAGTAATTGAGGAATTGCTGCGATTTTTTCTTCAATACAGATCTGGAACTCTTCCTCCGAATGCGTTTTCTTTCATACATCTGAAGAACTCCAAAAGAAAAAATATTCACTATAAACATAATTTAAAAAGTTTAAAAGTTTAAAAAGCTGCCTTCATTCTGGTAACAATTGTTTAAAGAAGAATAATGTAAATACCTGACTTATGTAACCATCGGCAGTAAAGGTGGTGGTGAAAAATGTGCCCTATAATTTTTGTCGAACTCAACGCATAGACCAGAGATTCTTCGTGAAACAGGTTAGGGTTTTCTGCACTTCAGTAGCGATTTTTTAGGTTGTTGACGTATCCACTCAGATGAAACCACGATGTAACAGAAAATGAATCAGAATATGTTCCGAAGAATCTAAGAACGCATTCCAGCCGAAAGACAACACTTTCAGCATCATCTTTGAGATGAGTTAAGCGCAGTGATAGTTCCTGTATGTCAGCACGGGAGTTAAGTCAGAGCTTCGCTTGGTAAGCGAACCCTCAACTTACCGGGCACCGCGCACCGAATCTTCAGCGAACGATAAAATGTTATAAGGGTACATATGTAAGGCAATAACAGTTTTCGGGAGGAGGAAGTGACAAAGGCGAAGAGCTGTGCACGCTCGCATGCGTAGCTGTGGGCGCTCTTCTTCACGCCGATTGATCCCCACCTCTACGTGCTGCTCCTGACGCCCCTGCTGCTGCTGGGATGTTTGGTGCCCAACCTGCGCTACATGTGGCCCGTGTCGGTGGTGGCCGTCCTGGCCCTGGCGGGCGGATGCCTGGTGCTAGTGGTGGACGTCCTGCTGCGGCCCTCGTCCACAGACGCGCCGCCTTTCCCAGCGCTGGGCACCCGAGCTCTCGGCCTGCCCTTCTTCGTGGCGGAGGAGCTGGTCGCGCTCTCCTTCATCATCGTGGTGCGACGCTCTCCCTCCGTACCTCACCAACCCTCACAACACCTCTTCTTACAGTCTCACCTCCCCACACCTCATCGCATCTCATATCCCCTCCTCTCCTCTCCTCTCACATAGCCTTAGCAATTAACCTCACCCCACCCCATCCCAACCCAGCCCAGCCCCCTCCACCCCCGCTCGGCCCCGCTCAGTCCCTCACGCCTCGTTCAGCCCAGCTCAGCTCAACCGCACTCTTGCCGCGCTCCGCCACACCACGCTACGCCTCACGTCGCGTTAGGTCATGCGTAGTTGTCTCGACCAGACAGTTTTCGTCTGCCACTGCCGTTTCGCTTAGCCCAACGACCTCTGGTCCCACCACACCATACCAGGTTCGACCTCTCAAACTAAACCCGGGCATAAACACTTACGTCTACCCGGAGATATGAATGTATATTTTCCTGCTTACGTGCAATCTTCACTATACACATTCAATGTCCTGCAAGGTATCTCAGAAGCAGTTTCGAAACCGAAAAGGCAACGAGCCTCTGATATGATCTGGGCTCTCCGGGTTTCTAATATCTCCAACACATCTCGTGTTTTATAAATATACATTCAAACAAGCATCCCATTTTTTCTACGTACGAAAAAGATAAGTGAAATAATTTACATTTTTCCGGCATCGCTGAAGAACCATTCGCAAATAATTTTAAAAAAGCCACCTAAAACAAAAAAGTGTCCATTGTTGGATTGGATTTCGGTGTCGTAAGTTCCCTGGCTGGAGGCGGCTGAGGCAGCGCGATTTAGTGCTTGTGGTAGCCGCAGGTGGTGGTTGTGGAGAAGCACATGGACAACCCTCCGCACCTGCTGGGCGTCAAGGGCTGCCTCAACTGGTGCCTCTTCCTAGCAGTCGCTCTACAGATCCTCGTCAGCACCACCATTTACGTCAAGTTCGGCGCCAACTTGTCCTTCGATTTCCTCGCCGGTTTATCACGAAACCTGTGAGTGGATGTTGACCAATTCAAGAGCACGCTAGCAAAGCCGTAATAACAACTTTTTTCTGTAATTATTATTCTATAATGTGTGCCTAAGTGAAAAGGAGCCTACAGTAATACGGAAAGAAATGTTAACGTCAACATGCGAATTAGATTTAATTTGGAACAGTACACCTATCAACATTCACCATTTACATTGATACACTTATCCCAGCGCGTAGAAAATGTGTGGAGGCTTCCGTGTAAAAACTCCTGGGTTGCTGACAGATCCACTTTTCCACGGTGACTTGCACGTTCTCGTCGGAGGTGAATCTCTGACTTTTGAAAAAGATATGGAACCGAACATATGGTAGTCCGGTGGGAATATATCGTCGGTGTAAGAAGGATGTTGCAGGACCTCCCAGCGAAACTTCGCAAGGAGCAAGGTCTTCTTGGGTGCAGCCCAGCTTTGAGTTAATTATGTGATACACCCTTCCTTTGCTCATCGCCAGTTCAACAACCATTTCACGTGCGGTGATCCGACAATTCTGCCGTATGAGCTCAACCACAATCCCAGTCGTGTCCTTCTGTGCGAAGAAATTGTATCACCGCTTTTTGTTCTGGAAGCATCCATCACGCAACGAACTGCGGAAACAACACGACCAAACTGAGGCAATTGCGGTGACGTCCTTCTGTGCAATACGGAAAAAACCTCGCGCCATCTATCGGCTACCAAGTTCACTTACGGGGAATTGCAACCACGCCACTTTTCATTTGGGCACAACATCATGTTATTCAGACATAATACGTCCAATTTTTTTATTTTGTCAAGGCGACATTTTGTCACGATCAAATGGCTACATTGATCTAATAACCTTGCAATTATATTTCGAAGGTAATTTTACCTAAAAGTCTAGTTAAAATAAGCCTTAAACCTTGTAGTTGTTTGAATCAACGATGTTCTTATCTTCACAGCTTGTTGGATGTCGTAATATTCCTCTTTGTGTTCGGCGCGTTGCTGTCAGTCCCGTTATACGTGTACGTTCTGCATGATATAATCTGGGACATGCACCAGCATCTTCTTCAGAAGTACTCAGAGAATCAAAAACTCTTCTGGGAATTCGGACTGCGTGCAATCATCGTCGTGTTTTGCAGTAAGTAGAGACGAACCGTTAAAGAAATTAATTATTTTTTTCTTTAAACTACAATACCAGATATTACAAGATGGGCGTTAATGCTTTAGTGTCTAGCAATATCTTTGACAGCCTGACATTGCATTACATATTCAATGGAAATAATACTGTTCCGCATGCTGTCTAACTCATCAAAATATCCAATTCATTACACCTATTTTGTGATAAATTGCTCTCAAATGATGTTTGCAAAATATAAGGATAAATAGAAAAATAAATTGAAGTAGGGATAAAAAATAGATATATAGGGAAGAATAAGTTTAAAATTAGAAAAGTACGCACGAAAATATGCGAGGAGGAATTAAAAGCACTAAAAACAAAATAATTGTTTCCATTTCAAAACGAACAGTAAACAAAGAGGCCTGGATGTATAGGTGGCCGGGTGACTCCCAACAATGACCAGCGGTACATTTAAGATCCGAAGGCGAAGATGAGGAGTGTACTCCCCCATGAAGGATATTACGAACTGGAAGGAGTATAGAAGGGCCATTTGGAACGTAACTTCTCGCCACAACTGAACACATACATGTATACATACATGCGAGGGATTTTTCACGATATTTCTTTCTGAACTTAAAGTTCGGGCTCTTCGAATCAAAAGCATTAGCTGAACTTCAACATGATTTGTATCGACGAAGAACGGCATAAGTTAATTTATAATTCTGAAATACAAAAGAAAGGTATATTAAAAGTGAAGTCGTTAAAATATTCCCACATCCTTATGAATCTTTATGCAATCGTAATTGTTGCAGCTTTGCTGGCGCTGGCGATCACAGGCGTACGGGTAGGAGAACGGCATCAGGTCATTTATAATGCTAAAATAAAAAATAATATTTGTTGAGAGTGAAGTCGTCTAGATATTCCCGCTTGGTGAGGAATCCTTATTCAATTGCAATTGTTGCAGCTTTGCAGGCGCTGCCGTTCCCGGTGTACGGAAAGGAGAACGGGATAATGTTCATTATAATGTTGAAATAAAAAAATGTTTGTTGAGAGTGAAGTCGTTGTGATATTTCTGCTTGGTGAAGAATCCTTATTCAATTGCAATTGTCGCAGCTTTGCTGGCGCTGCTGTTCCCGGCGTACGGGAAGGAGAACGGGCTAATGTTCATTATAATGCTGAAATAAAAAAAATGTTTGTTGAGCGTGAAGTCGTTGTGATATTCCCGCTTGGTGAGGAATCCTTATTCAATTGCAATTGTTGTAGCTTCGCTGGTGCTGCCGTTCCCGGCGTACGGGAAGGAGAACGAGATAATGTTCATTTATAATGCTGAAATTAAAAAAATGTTTGTTGAGAGTGAAGTCGTCTAGATATTCCCTCTTGGTGAGGAATCCTTATTCAATTGCAATTGTTGCAGCTTTGCTGGCGCTGGCGTTTCCGGTGTACGGGAAGGAGAACGGGATCCCGGTGGCGCTGACGGTGCCGCTGCTGCTGTGGGGCTTCCCGGCGATCGTGGAGCTCGCCCTGTGTTGGCAAGTGAAGGATTTCGGGCCCTACAAGTGCGCCCTCTGGAAGGACATCTCGCTCATCCTGATGGCGGTTATATGTTTTGCCTTTGCCATTTGTTACCAGGTCGCTGGCTAACAACTGAGAGAATTCATATGCAAAACCCCTGTTTGGGAAAAATGAATTCTTAGAACATACTTATTAGTTTCATTGTGCAGAGAAAATGTTTATATTCTCAATTCTATATTGTTCATTCATTTCTTCGTTACGACTTAAAAACCTTTTATTTTGTATTTCCTGTTGTAAAATCATTATTGGTTTTAATTTTGTGTTGAATCGTTTATTTATATATTAAATTAGCCTTCAAATAAGTATAATGTGTAATTCGTTATAATAATTTATCGAAGATTTTAAAATGCTGTGTTAAGTTATATTTTCGTTGTTTTTATAAGATCGAACTATAAATGCATTAAATGAAACGTTAATGCAAATATTATCTACTTCTATCGAAATAAATGTATACTAGCATGTATGTTTAAAATACATTAAAGGTGAAGTATCGATCTGATGTTAATCATACACTTTGAGGATGAGTTATAATTGTTATAGCCCTTTTTCATAACAAGAACTATTGTGAAGATAAAAAAATCTCCGACCCAGCATTGCCCAGGAGAAGAGAGTGCAGAACTTTTCTAATTGCCAATTACGTATTAAAATATATCTCTCTATACATTGTCTCATTGTTCTTTGTAATCGGCAGATGGCAATGGTCTCGGCAGAGGCCCCGTTGCCGCACTTTATCTCCCTATCTAAGGTTTCGCTGCACGATATTTCGTGGATAATTTAAAGCGAATAATAGATTTCGATCCGAGTTATTTCTGATATTTTCCAGTCAGACATATGCTGTCTGATATACTGTTTTGTTATTGTGTCGTAAATACGTGGAAGAAGCGTTCAGCGAATACGAGGTTCTATTCTTTTCTTTTATTAATTTCGAGTTGGTGGAAATAAGAGACTAATAAGTCTCTGGAAACGTTGCTGCAAATACGTGCCATTAATCAACAACTGTTGGTGCCATCACGTGACTCTCAACCCTTTGGTACAAACAAAAAGAATTTTCGTACAACGACTAGATTCGGTAAAAACGCGTTGCTCAACGAATTGAAAACCAACTGGGAGTTGAAAATCCCTGTTTTGTTATGGAGACGGTACATTCTGGAAAAGCGTATACAACACGTTTTTGTCGAGGGAATATTACGACCAGTAGATTTCCTCTACTAATGCAGCATATAAATAAGTAGTAAAAGCTTCTTTTAACTTCGATTAGACTTTCTGACGAACAGAAAATAGCAAAATTGTACATAAATAGCGATGTTTTTAACTGTTTCTCGAAGAAGCGACGAATTTTAAGGCAATGGCACCGCATGGTGATGAACAGGATTCCTCAAAGGGTGAACCATCATCAGCGAAACATCTACAATAGGATAAGAGCGAGATAAAATCTATCGTAAGTCTTTCAAATGGGTGCGTAAACCTTTTGAATTCCACGAAAAGCAAACTTTGTTATCCCAAACGCTAGGGAGGTCAGGTGCCTCCACAGTAGAATACACCTGACCAATAGTAGGGGTCGTAGACATACGTAGATGACCATCGCCCCGAACTGCGAGTGGTTGAGTCTTCGCTGTGGTGGTTTGGTAGGTGGATCCGGAAGTAAGGGTTACCTACCAAAGTAGCTACGGGTTTAGAATAAGGTGGGAGTTATGAGGTTTTATCGAGGACGTCTTTTGCGAAAGTGACTTCTTGGTTGTCCGGGTGACGCCGTGTTGTTGGGTGAAGGGCCGACGTTTCGCCTGTCATATCGCAGGCTTTCTCAGGTCGTCACTACCCTGAGGAAGCGTGCGATATGACAGGTGGAACGTCGGCCTCATCCAACGACGCGGCGTCACCTGGAGCCAAGAAGTCATGTACTCGAGCCGCGGATGCTTGCGTGTACATATTTCGCGGAATTCTTGTACGAGAGTATTTTAATCTGCGTTGTTTTTGGTACTGAATCCATAGATAGGTCTAAGGAAGAAACCCGGCACTCAGCGTTAGCCATTCATGGTGCAGTAAGCTTCAGTTGGATGCTCGCTGCCTTCTTGCACTGACTTGGCACAGTCGTAAACGTTCGTTTTTCATATCCAGGAGGGGGTTACTTTGAATCTCCTTCTTGCTTCCGGAGATGAAACATTTCTAAGCATCCTGATTGTTTCATGTTTCTTCTCTTTGATGAACACCTGGCGTTGATTCAATTCTGTCGCAATAACACCCTTGCATCTCAGGCAATGGGGGGGGGATGAGGGGCATGGTGTTTCCATGAGCAGCATTTCGCCCCACTAGTAGCATGCAGGATTGCCTGACTTGCATCGCTTAACGATAGGGCCGAACGTCTGGCAGATATAACAGCGCAGGAGGGATCGACACTCTCTGGCGTACTCGAACTTTGCGCAATCTGCACAGATTATTTCCGGGAGCGAAGGGCATGTCAAAAGGATCAGAATGGACGTCGGAATTTCCTTTCCATTTTCTTGACGCCTTATATTGTACATATCTTAATCAGGTCGTGGTTTGAACAATGAGTTTAATTCATCTTCATTTCCTGCTCATTCAAAATAACCGTAATTCACGACTCCCTTGGTCAAATTGATGCTCAATTGAATAGATACAATAACCTTGAGGCCGGTAACATTTTTATGTTTAATAGTGTTTCTATTTGGCTGTTTGAGTGGCCTTCGAAGATAATGGTACCATTTCTCTGGCGAGTCACCGCCTGAAGTTTTCCAAAGCAATCGCCGAGGGCTCGAACCAAACAACCTCCGTAGGGGGTATCGTGGCTGCGTAGGCGTCACAATCTCTGGTGGAGAGTTGCAGGCGACCAACCGGACCCTGCGTTTCACGTCGGCACTCGCGCCATTACCTTCAAGGCGGAGGCATTGAATAGGCAATGCTAACCACCCTGTGGCCGCGCCTCACCCGGTAAACAACCAACTAGGCCCCACGCGAGTCAAACTTCGGGCGGAATTTGTCGAAGGACATTCTTCAGAATGGGCGACAAATTAAAAAAAAATGAGAAATGCTTTGGCTGTATTGGTACATCGTACCATATCTGGGGTCATTTTGGGCCCCATCATCATTAATTTGTTCATATTTTCCTGAATACTTGCAGGATAATTTGTCTTCTAGATAGGTCTTCGTGCACTTATTAAGCTGGTACCAAACCAGTTTCACATATTTTTCCAAATTTTATTAGAGTCGTTAATTTTTTTCGTTACATCACACTGGTTTGACGTAAGTATAGCAAGTTATTTTCTCGATCTCACCGGAAATATCTTGTCATGAACTGTGTCTGAGACAGTGAATATTATATTTATCTCGAAATAACGTTCACAAACTATAATAAATATTTCTGAAGCATTACGTATAACAATGGAGGTTATGTACAATAGAGGTTAATCTTAAATGATATATTTAAGAAGGATAGTTTATATTTATGGTTATATAAATCACTTTAAAATGTATACTTATATAAAAAATTATTTACATTCGGTATATTGCCGTACATATGCGTGTTTAGCACTTCCAATTAGGAATAAAGCTTAGGATCCAAAAAGATCCCAAGAATAGTACTTGATTGTTAATTGCAGATATGGTTCCAGGGTTAAAAATACGACAAACAACAGTATCAACGCTTTGCATTATCTGTTCAGAAATTTTTCTTTGCTTGAGACTTAATAAAGCTCCAATCAATTTAAACTGAGTAGAAGTTAAATGTTCAAATAATTATCTATTCATACGAGTATCATATTTTTAATTGTTGCCGGGGTACCAAAATTCGCTGCATGAAACTACCGTCTTGGAGTAGAACTGAAACATAATTTTTGTCATGCGAAAATTTATACTAAATTCTGGACAATATGAAACACTTCTATTAAATTTTCAAAACAACTTCTGCCAAGCATTTCCTACAATTTCAATGGTGTTAAAACATTGCACAAAAAACCTAAAAGCTATTAGTATAGACGTATGGCATCTCACACTGTTTTATGTTAATGTTGAAAGCCAGCGATTGTCGTTTTCCAGTAATTCAAAGGCTACGTATTTGTGAGGTTTTCAGAATATCTCTCTACTACCTGCAGCAGAATACGAAGACAACATCACTCGCGAATGATGGGGCGAATATAATACAGAAACCCTTCCGCGGACGTGGCCTGGAACAACGCTTGTATATCCGTCCATGTCTCATCGGCTGTGGAAAAATTTTCCATTTTGCTTATTAAATGTGTGATAAGTAAGAAAATATTCGTGAAATAAGGTTCTTGCGTACAAATTAGTTTGTCTCAAAGAAAAACAAATACCCTCAGAGTTTTATTTCGAGGAATTTCGAATATTTTCTACATCATCGAAGTGAAATACATTCTTTGTTTATTTTTTACCGGTGGAAATTTGTCGTAAATGGATGTGTCAGAACTATCAAAACTGCTTGTGAAGTACTTATGTATCTGCAACTTTGATAAGTAGTAATTTCATTGTTAGAATTTTGAAAACCTGTCAATGCCACATATGAACATTTGCAAAATATTTGCATATGAATTTATTTTCCCCATGCTGCCCGATGTTTGTAGTCGTATTTTTTTCATGCAATTTATATTTTGACAGTGTACACAAACCTTTACCTAATATTTCGTACTCGATACTTATCAAATATTCTACGGATGATCTGTTTTCGTTCCCGAGGTAATCTCGAAACCAGTGACCTCGAATACTCGCTAGGTTGTAAAAATTAAGATTTGATAAGAGGAAAAAGTTCTTGTTTTCTGCGCAAATTATGCAAAAACAAAGTGTTGATTAATGGTGTAAGGATTAATAAGGAAGATATTTCAGAAATGGCCTAGCCGTATATAAAAAGCAGAACTTTTTAATCCTATAGCATAAAAGGGATTAATTTTAAAATATTATCTTATATGAAAGTTTGTGTAGAAAATTTTATCTACTTTAATTTTGTATGGTGCTTAATGTTCGGAATGATTTATTGTTCTGGAGATATACGCAAAAAATGAAGAAAAATCAGCTTTAAACAACCCCCTATTCCTAGCTCCCCCTCCCCCCAGCCCCCCTAGGTACCAACAAACAATCATTCCGTTTCAAAACTCCGACATTTCTTTTCTTCAATCACCAGTTTTAGGTTTAATTTGACTAGGCTATTACACATTTTTAAACATTTGAAAACTTCAGAATGAACTATCTTCAATTTATTCAGCAGAAGAATTTAGATCCATGTCAAGTGATGTTAGTTTGTCGGAATACCTTTTAAAAAACTATTT